AAAATTAGCTTTTTTTTAACCAGAGATAAGGAGTCTGCCCGCCCCCCTCCCCACATACTCTCCTAGCTCTCCCCGGCCCCTTTCTTCTTTTCTAACGTTTTTTAAAATCTAAAATGAGGACAAACACATTTTTTTTTTAAAAAGCCATAGAGATTAGGCTATGGGGGTAAGAAAGCTAGCCTGAGTTTTAGGGGGAATGTTGATAACTCTTTTAGTGAAACAGTTTTGTAGGCAGCCATTCTGTGTTTGTTGTGTGTTAACACAAGCAAGCGTTTGTCATTCGGAAGCACTTCCCACTTTCCGAGGTATTATCTCCCCCATCCTACGGCCTATCAGAAATATTAACAAAAACAAACTTAAAGATACTTTGTAGCGGGGCCTGCAAAGCAACACTTACACTTGTGTTGGTCATTATCTTGTCTAAGCCCCCAGGGAATATTTTTCTGTTTTGTTTTTATAAAACACTTTTATGCAAAGAGTAACCCGAGATGCTGTACAGCATTAAATAACATGAACCGGTAGACAAGAAACCTGAGACATTGTTGAAATCAGAGGAATCATGATTAAGTTCTAATGCAGAGGGCCTTGGGTGGGGGGAGGAATGAAAAGGTCCAGCCGAAGCGGGAGACGGTTTGATTTAAGAGGGGTTCTGGGGCTGCTTTGCAATGGTCCAGATGCCCCAACAGCCTATATCCCTTGTGCACAAGCGCCAGGGCTTGGTGGGGTGGGTGGGCCTTTGTTAGAGGAACAGGCCGCTCATATACCTCTTGTTGTTTTTGACAAACGGTAACCGAACTGCAGGTATACTACGGGGGCAACCTACTTCCCTTTTGACAAACCGCACATTCCTTGAACTTCATAAAAACCACACTTCACATAGTTATTTTCAACTGGCATTTTATTTTACAACATGCCCTGTTTTGTTCCCAAAACACGCTCTAACTTTTAGCGTTTTTTCTTAGCAAGATTTTGTCATTTGCTGACCGAAGAAGACGTTCAACATTTCGCATTAAACATGTATCTGTCGGTTTAATGATTTATTATTATTGATGATGTGTTTATGAACGCCATGGCAGAGCTGAATGTCCCACCTTCCATCACAGACAACGCGATCAGCAGAGATCTTTTGGAATGCCTGCAGGCCTCGACCACCGACACCAGTGTGATCAAAAAACACCACTATGGCTCAGTGTCTAATGTTTTCATGCTTTAAGAAAGATAATACCTCATAAAGTGGGAAGTGCTTCCGAATGACAAACGCTTGCCCGTGTTAACACACAACTAACACAGAATGGCTGCCTACAAAACTGTTTCACTAAAAGAGTTATCAACGTTCCCCCTAAAACTCAGGACAGCTTTCTTACCCCCATGGCGTGAGCTCTGTGGCTTTTTAAAAAAATGTGTTTGTCCTCGGTTTAGATTTTAAAAAAACATTAGAAAAGAAGAACGGGGTGGTGGTGGGGGGAAGGGGAGGTAGGAAGGTATCTGTGTGTGGGGGGGCAGACTGCTTATCTCTAGTAAAAAAAAAAACAGCTAACTTTTTTTACATGTTAATTTTTTTCGTGTGTTTTTTGTATAAATCCAAACTTTAAAAAGCAATCTTGTTTATATTTTGTTAATTTTGTTTTTTAATTAAAACACATATGTAAACTCCCCTCAATTGCCAGTTTTCA